TGCATGAGATTTTTAAAACCCTCAAACAATTTTTGGTATAACTTGAATTTGTCTATGTAAAACGACATCTTATTTAAACATTAAACTTTAGCTAATGAAATCAATGGTAACACAAATGTTAACTTGCTTTACTATGCTTACAATACGTCTACTCGCTACAGTATCCAAACGAAACAATACACTGATAGAGGAAATTTAGACAAGTGAACACCGCGCGGTAATTCCCCTACTCGGTTCTAAAGCGAGTAGGGGAATTACCGCGCGCTGTTCACTAAACGTATGCATTATTTGCGGGAATCCCCGAAAACGCATTTCGTTTTCAAGCAAAGACAATGTAAGGGTTGCCGTTCGTGTAAAAACGTAAATAACTACCGATGACGTAATCATCATCTAGACTCCCTACCCCCCATGTCATCCAAAATAAGCAAAGCAACGAAACCCCCGCCCCCCCATAGTGCTCACGTAATACTTACAACTTATATTTTTAAATGGAAACTCTCTCTTTTTTTAGATTCTCCATGAAGCGATTATGATACAAAAGTTGCTAAACACTCGATGGAAAATCTGACAATTAAAAAAAAGGGGCTTTCCATTTAAAAATCTATATATCTTATTTTTGACCACCCTGTCTTGTGTCCAAGCGTTTTCCCCAAAATATACCAGGAGAGTGGCGAATGGGGGCTTTTCGTTGGACCACCCTGTATACGTATTCGTACTGATACATTCGGAGCTTGCACGAAAGGGACAACGTTGCCACAATCTCGGTAACTACCAGTAGGGCAGGGCAGCAATTGACGCCATTTTTGGCTTAGTAAGATCGGTCCCCACACTATTAAACGCTAGCTGCTATCCACTCTTGCAGCTGCATTGCATTTCTTTGCTTATATAATACCAAACTCGAAAAAGGAAGCTTCCAACCGGTTACAAATCGACTTGTTCCTCGAATCCATATACGAGAAGTAGAAATGAAATAAATTTTCATGCTAGGTTTCTTCACAATGTACCGCGGCGTCATTTTCAACTCCCATAACGTCGTTCCAGCTCTGTTACATAAAAACCTGATCTTTCGCAGTTTCATATACGGCCACGCGTGCTGCGGCCGTTTTCACTTTGACTGAAAATTATAAGTTGGAGAACGGTCCGTTTTTGTCTTATGTGGCCCATCCGTGCTGAGGTCATCAACACGATTATCACTGTGGCGCAACAGTCATGGTAGTTTTTTCGTAACTGGAAAATTTTCATCAGCAGTTATCGTAATAGACCATTATAATAAAGATACAATCTCCTTCACACGGCCTGTATTATGACTAAATGTGCGGCGCGTTCACTCTTTTTCCTATTTGGTCAATTGAACAGCTTCATATACTAAGTGACATATAAATCCGAGCACCCAGTTTAAATGGTTTTATTTTAATAAAATGTTGTACAGTACACTGCTTTAAAGCCCTTTGACCTTTAATAATGTGTGGATGCACCCTGATGTGCTACGCATTCTCCAACGCGCCTAGGCATGCTTCTGATCAGGTGGTCAATGTCCTCCTGTGGTATCTCATTCCAGGCAACCACCAACTCCTCTCGAAGTGCTTCTAGAGTCTGAGGAGGACGTTGCAAATTGAGCAATCTCCTACCCTTCATATCCCACACGTGCTCAATTGGGAATAAGTCGGGAGATCTTGTTGGCCATGGTAACAATGTGACATCATTATGTTGAAAGAAGTCTATTGTGACTCTTGCAGCATGTGGTCGGGCATTATCTTGTTGGAAAGTTCGATCTGCCAAGGTGTCAAGACAGGGTAAAAGATGGGGTTCTAGAACTTCGTGGATATAACGCTGCGCGTTCATGTTACCTCTGATGAAGATTAAAAGTGACCTGGAACCATAAGCTATAGCACCCCAAACCATAACTCCAACAGTGTGATGAACATGACTTTCAACAAAAAACTGTGGATTCCTCCTTTCACCACGTCGCCTTCTAACACTGGTACGACCATCGTGCTTGCCTAAACAAAATCGAGACTCGTCACTAAAGACAATACTGTTCCATTCCTGATCCCAGAGTGACCGTTGTCTGCACCACTCAAGGTGATTACGTCGGTGTTCTCCCCAAAAGGGAGGACCCAGTGTGGCCGGTATGAAAACAAGCCAAAACTTCTCATTCGTCGGTAAACACTTCGCATGCCAATAGGTCTTCCGTGTTCTGCAAACCATTCATTTGCAATGGACCTGGTAGTGGAGAAACGGTCCCTTAAGGCCAATAATCTTAGGCGGCGATCTTCACGGTCTGTTGTTCTACGGCGGCGTCCAGTGCCCCTTGCTCTTTGCGTACGGCCTTCTCGAAGCCATGCCTGACAACACCTAACCACAGTGTCTACACTTCTTTGCACTCTAACTGCAATTGCCCAAAAAGAAAGTCCAGCTTCCCGAAGTCCCACTATACGGCCCCTATCAAACTCACTAAGTTGACGAAATCGCACAGGTCTCCGTACTCTAGGCATCGTAACCGATCGTAAAGGATGTCAAGAACCAAAATCCGCCAACGTTGATTCTGTACTGCGGCTGAAATATTCATTTTTAGAGCGTTAGTGAATTAAAAAAAAGCAGTATAAAAACCGCAATGTCCAACTGATAAGGCTGAAAATTTTTTCACTTGTTATTTATAGTAAGATAAATACATTCACCAACTTTTATTAAAATAAAACCATTTAAACTGGGTGTTCGGATTTATATGTCACTTAGTATATAATGGAAATAACAGGGGTCCTAAAACTGATCCCTGTGGTAGCCCAGAACAAATTTTTTGTGCGGTAGAGTACTGTTGATTTAGACTTGAGCTTTATCGAAAGACGCAAATCTGTGAAGAAACAACTAGTACAGGGTGTCCAGCTTTAAAGTGACCCCTTTCTAACCTTTTTATATGACCTTCTTCAAGAAAAAGTTGTGTATAAAATTTATTTGGTCTAATATGAAATTTTGCATGTAATATTTTTCAGAAAACGGGAAGTCTCAGAAAAGTCCCATCGAATAAGTTGTATTTTTTTAAACGGAATACCCTGTATATTTTCAGTGAAAACGATAGTCTCTTTTTATGCTTCCATAATTATATGGTTTGTCAAACTTAAAAAATGCCGGATAGATTCTTGATGACCGATCACTTTTTAAAATCTATTATATTCCTAAAACTGGTTTTACTCGTATTAGAAACGTATTAACATTTATGTTCAATTTTTTCTGATATGTCGTACTTTCTCCGAAAAATTCTGCAGGTGTTAAACCTTGAAGCAAAAATTTCGTGATGTTTCCTATTTAGAAAAGAGTCCGTCTTTGTATTTTACGAGAAGTGATTTGCAATGCAAATTAGAAAACTGCGACGTATCGAAATTTCTGGCGGCAGTTTACTTATAAACTTCTAGCCCCAGTAATCGTATGTGCCTATTAGGCACATTTATTATGTCATATATCTGCCCTTGTGACTTAGAAGGATAGAAATATTTTGTATATAAACTGTACTAGCCACTGTTCGGTCTCGGGCGAACATACACGCGACGAACTTTTACCGTCAACGACGACAATTGCGACTACCAGAGCAATATAATTTTTTGAATATAAATAATCAAGTGACGACATTAAGGTTGGAGTTGCCAGATACGTATTCAAAGTCTATGATTTCAGTTCTAGCCAAATCAACAATGCTTTTTCGCCAAAATTTATTCTGCTTACGGCCTTATGTCAGGTGACAAGGATTTTTGTAGCCGACGAACAATAAAGATACCAGAGCGAACAAAAGTTGAAGATTCTGCATGTAAATACTCACTTATTCTATAAAATTAGATATGATTAGACTATTTTCGCGGATGTTCTGAAAACCAAAATAGAAAACATACCATTAGTTGCTCAAAAAAACGTTTTATTAGGTATATTTTAGTTCTCAAGCGGAAACCAGTGGAGGGCATATGCGTCAGCTTGCCCTCCCTAATGAGGCGCCCATGTGTAACCCTATATTTGAAACTCGCCAACAGTGTTGCCAGGTCTGGTAAAATTTCACTAGGTCTGGGGATTTTATGAATAATCTGGTGATTGGTGAAAAACTTTTTGAAAAATGGAAATTGTTAGAGATTTTTAATGATTTTAATACCAAAAACTCCAACAATTACTAAATATCCGAACCGGTACCACATTTCACGACTTCGGGTATTGTATCGTTACGTATCGATCTAGTCTGAAAATTTATAGTGAATTGTGTTTCTAAACAATTTAATTATTAAGTTGTACACAGAAATCACAAATGCATTTTTTTTTCGTTTACATCTAGTAATACAGCTTAAAAAGTTCCTGAGAATTCTTTGTAAATCTTGTGATTTTTATTTTTTTTACCTAGCAACACTGCTCCAAAATAGTGTTCATCAATTTTAAGCTAGCTGCGTAAATAAATACTAAATGAGCTCGGTTAAATTACATGTTTTTATAAACGTTATTATGGGAAAGAAAGTTCTAGATGTGTAGAAATAACGATTACGGGGAATACATACGCACACACTATATTAGTTCTGCCTAGGTTCGTACGAAAACGTTTTGATAATGACCATGGTGACGTTTTCGTCTCGTAAATTGTTATAGACAAAGTACAATAAGCTAATTGATTTATAAATATTAGAAATCGTCTTATTAGAAAGTCGGAATTCAAGTTTTAGGCTTTAATAGTGCAATAGACCGTCTTTCACTAATATTAAAGACGTTACATTTACAACCTCCGATCCCCCAGTTTGAATCCATACAAGTAAATTTCGGAAAATGATCAGGAGTCTCTGGAACATCAAAAACGAGGGTTAAGGGACTTTTATTTTTATACATAAATACTTCCTCACCAGTTTTGGCATAGATAATTGAAAGGCATCGATAATTTATTATTAGAGATAGGTTCGAGGGGATTTTCGAGATATGGACACCCAAAAACTGATGTGTGAAATTGAAATAACCTTTGATAACCCACATTTTTTTTTCAGGGTAAAAATGCCAGGCTCCAGTCCAGTATCGGATTGGTACCGGGGGAAATCGATATTTCTCACCGGTGCCACTGGATTCATGGGAAAAGTAATGTTGGAGAAACTATTATATTCCTGTCCGGGAATCAAAAATATTTACCTCTTACTCAGGAACAAGAGGGGAAAAACTCCGCAGCAGAGGATCGAGGACATGTGGAAGTTACCAGTAAGTACAGAAAACAATCAGGCTCGACGATAGGGCATACATTTTTGGAAACTGGTAACTTTGAAATTAAGTTAGACGATATAAAATACAGGATTTTACAGAATGATATCATGTCAATTTGACGATTTATCCAGCACGTAAATATGCAGGCTGTTCTCAAAGTTGAGACTCTCTTTTAAACGGCGTATAGATATTGGAAAAATGAGCAGTTCATTCTAGTAACCTTTCCGAGACGTTATGCTCGGCAAAATAAATCAAACGTACAGTACTCAATCCAAAAAACAAAACAAAAACGGCACACGTATACAGCAATATCGGACGTGTCCATATTATTTTAATTCACGGTGAGGGTCTTCAAAATGCTACCGAGGCTTCGCGAGTGCATACAGATCGTTTTCGACTATCCGGAATTTAGGACTCCGCCTACGGTGCTGCTTCGGTATACAAAATGTGTGACTGCTCTCTAATCAAGTGCATTGTGATATTTTCCTTTTCCAGATGTTCGAAAGGCTTCGAGCAGCGCAACCGGATGCCATAAAGAAGGTCATAGCCCTTTGCGGAGACGTAGATTCGGAAAATTTAGGTCTGAAAACGAACGATGTAGAACTTCTAGCTGCTAACGTGAACATCGTATTCCACATGGCTGCCACCTTGAAGCTCGAAGCTAACCTCAAAGATGCCATTGAACAAAATACAGCCGGGACAGCTAGAGTTATAGATATATGCAAACAGATCAGGAAGTTGGACGTTTTCGTGCATTTTAGCACAGCTTTCTGCTCGGCCGACGTGGAAGTTTTTGAAGAAAGGGTGAGTAAACAACGGCAGGGGTATTGCGTATCTTGAAAAGTGACAATTTTTCGATTTTTTTGACGTTTTTTACGTAATAGCCCTGCGGCGGATATGACTATGAAAGTAAACTTTTTAACTTTTGTTATATTACTACTACAGCGCCTATCCAATGCATGAGATACATTCACTATGATTATAAAAGATAACAAAAAGTGAATCTTCGTTAAAAAAGCCATTGACGCATACGGTTATGCCCCAATAACTAACATATTTGTATATTATTTGCTTAACGAGCTTGAAATGTAATAATTATATAATACTTGATATAAAATTATATTCAAAACTGAACATTAATAATGATCAAGTCGACTATTATGTAAAGAGATATCGAAATACGAATTTCAGGTTTATCCTTTAACTTTTTCGTGAATTATATTTATGATTGTGAGGAAAAGAAAAAGCTGTCACGCAACTATTGAACAATTTTTATTTAACTAAATTCCAGCCTGAGAAATAACCAACACTGATCGCACTTGGTGGATTTTCGGTCCATAGATAAATAACGAAGACGTAAAATAAATAGATATTGTAATTCCGGACTGTATATTCTATTACGTTGACTTGACAACTAAACTTTAAAGATATTCGACACTAACTAAATGCTTTTTGAACCAGCTTAACTGCTTATACAATGTTACAATTCGGTATTTTGGTGGCCAGAAAATGTAAGAAGTATATATATAGGTGAAAAATTAAAGCTTCCGCCTTTTGTTGGGTACTTCGACAAAATTTAAACAAAGAGAACTCTTTATACTTTTTTTAATTCTCTCTAGCTTTCAATGGACTTTGCCATCATCATCAGGAGCTGCAATTACAATGATAACAGTAGCAACAAAAGTGTAAAATGAATTTAAATTGAATCAACTTACAGTAGTATGTGAGGATGTTGCTAATTATTGTTTTCGTATAGGATGAGGGAAACGTCCAGTAACATGGTGAGAGCTGGATATATGGTACAATGGTTAAAATTATATAAAATATGACAAGACAAGTTAAAGACAGATTAAAAATTATTTAGAAAACATTAGAGCATTACGTCGTGAAGCCACTTGATGATTGCACAAAATGGTGGTCATGGAATAATGAGTAGATGAACCTTTGACAGAAGGCCGAAGGTTGTCAATGTCTGTGTTGAAAGATGGAACGACTTGTGGGCGTGTGCCAAAACGTTGCCAAATCACTTCAGATGATGTGATTTTCAGAATGTTATGTAAGAAATTGTTAAACCGACCAGAGGCAGTTGAATAAACTATATTTTAATTAATGGGAATTTTAAATTAATAATTATTAATAAATCGTGAGAAGAGAATTATTAGATTTTGAGTGGAATGAATTTTGTTGGTGGAATCGGCCAAAACACAGATTATATTTATGGTTGTGAAAAGTCGAAATTTGGGGAGATATGTAAGTTCTCCAATTTTTCGCAGTTTAGCAAATATGAGTAAATGACACTCAGTTGTTTAATATCTGTCTTTTTGTTGATACAGTTGTTATTCATGAAAATGTGGGACATCAAAGTTCTTGATAAATAAAAAAAAGAAAAACACCTTTCCAAACGTTTATTCCTGGAAATGTCCCACATTTTCAAGAATAACAACTGTATCAACAAAAAGACAGATATTAAACAACTGAGTGTCATTTACTCATATTTGCTAAACTGCGAAAAATTGGAGAACTTACATATCTCCCCAAATTTCGACTTTTCACAACCATAAATATAATCTGTGTTTTGGCCGATTCCACCAACAAAATTCATTCCACTCAAAATCTAATAATTCTCTTCTCACGATTTATTAATAATTATTAATTTAAAATTCCCATTAATTAAAATATAGTTTATTCAACTGCCTCTGGTCTGTTTAACAATATCTTACATAACATTCTGAAAATCACATCATCTGAAGTGATTTGGCAACGTTTTGGCACACGCCCACAATTCGTTCCATCTTTCAACACAGACATTGACAACCTTCGGCCTTCTGTCAAAGGTTCATCTCACTCATTATTCCATGACCACCATTTTGTGCAATCATCAAGTGGCTTCACGATGTAATGCTCTAATGTTTTCTAAATAATTTTTAATCTGTCTTTAACTTGTCTTGTCATATTTTATATAATTTTAACCATTGTACCATGTATTCAGCTCTCACCATGTTACTGGACGTTTCCCTCATCCTATACGAAAACAACAATTAGCAACATCCTCACATACTACTGTAAGTTGATTCAATTTAAATTCATTTTACACTTTTGTTGCTACTGTTATCATTGTAATTGCAACTCCTGATGATGATGGCAAAGTCCATTGAAAGCTAGAGAGAATTAAAAAAAGTATAAAGAGTCCTCTTTGCTTAAATTTTGTCGAAATACCCAACAAAAGGCGGAAGCTTTAATTTTTCACCTTATATATATATATATATATATATATATATATATATATATCTTGCGTCTGTAAAACACTTCATACGTGATAAATAAACTCTAGGAAGATACAATCAACAATTAAATTTCTTCATAAACAAAACACATTCCACAAATATATCTTCACGCAGAAATCTTCATTGTATCTTGCTTCCTCATTGACATACGATAATTGCATTTGACACGCGAAAATACACTTACAATAAATTTTGATATTTCGTCAATCCAGCTAGACAGGAGATTCGGAGAAACTGAGTAATATAGCACGATACGGCGATATCATCATTATTCACCTTGACAAAAACGCAAGCAGAAATTATTAATTATTATTATAGCAGAAATTATGAATTATTATTTTCGATATTTTAATGATAACATAAATGCCGCTCTTGTAATTTACTGCTGCGTATGCCGACAGATATATAATGTGGTAATGAGACAATGCACTTTATGAGCTATGAAAACACGCGGTGGTGCCAAATCGCTTTCATGATTAAATCAAAGATTGGATAATAGAAAATCGTCCAAAAAATATTAGCTTAGTATTTAACAGAAGGTTGAATTATTGATTAGAGTATTTTGGCACAAAGAGGTAAGCATATTAGATTATTTATTTCACTAAAAAATAGCGTCAAGTGGTTAAGATTGAGAAAAAGTTGGCTACTAACATAATAATAACTAACGTATTTTTTATTTGTAATAATATTACAAGAGGCGGGACTTAGATGCTAACATGTATAAGATTAAATGGATCATGCCAGTCAAACAGGCCCATGCAGTCAGTCCGGATTTGACAATATTGCGATCAAGCCTCTCTAGTTTTGATCCCGACGTGTCTTTATTTCATTTTCGTCTGGTAACCATCAGTCTCAGACTTTAACCCACTAGATACTAGATCTTAGAAATGAGACAGTCAATTGCTTAGACAAACCATGCTCCACTATGTGTCTGTAGAAGATGCCGTGCATAGGCTTGTGAAAAAGATATTATTCTTATTGTTATTATGAAGCAATCAGTAGATCTACCGCAATAACAGTAAACTTGGCAACACCGAATTGAAACCGCCTTCTAATTACTAGTGAAGAATTAACTGATGTTGTTGTCTATTTCCTTGTATTTGAGGACGATAGTCATTAAATAAAGTTTTCCACTTGTAAAACATAATAGAGAAATAATTATAGGTCAATGAAGATGAATTGTCAAAATTATAGTAGAAAATACATTAGTAGCATATTTACGTATGTTTATGAGCCCAAAAATACGCCCAAGCTGCTAAAGATTTGATAATCTTCACATGCTATGAAAAATTAAGCAGACTTGATTAATAATACTTTGAAGTTGAGTCATTAATTTTCAGATAATGATTGTAGAAGCAAGATAAACCAAAATATGTGTGTAAAAATAAAAAAAAAATTAAAAAAAATTGTTTACCTTGTTTTATAAAGTATCCTCCCGACAAGTATTTCAGTGCGGACCTGTATTTGATCGTGAGGTCCCCTGTGAGGTCTTAAGTCACCTGATTCACGAGCCCGTTGTACTACATTAACAAAGACACGAGGGGTTGGTTGCACTCGATTGGGAAACCGATCCGCATAAACATGTGCCATTTTTTATTTCGTTTCAGCCACGCAACAGACACTATTCACACGCGTTACCGACTGACACTAACTGTATGTATAACTGAACTGAATAAAATAATTGTAAAAACATCGTTCCAAATTCTTTCGCTTTTTTGTTTCCGATGCGATGAACCGATAAGGCGGATTATATCCGTTGTTGCCAAACACGAGCACATGATATTATTATTGAGACAGGGCGGTACTCAAACTTCCAAAGGGCTATAACTTTGTTACTTTAATTTTACCAGAAAAATGGTAAAGGAAAAAAAACATTTCTTTTGATCAGATCTACTCACTGTTAAAATAAATGACTCAACTTCGAAGTATGTTTATATCAAAATGCTTCCTTTTAAAGGAAGTATCCAAATCTGCAATTAAATATAATGCTTTCCACTAAAAATGATTGATTGGGTCACCACATACTATTGGCTACAATTTTTGTAATCCACTTTTACTTTGCACGTCTAGTGATGATTCTTTTCATCTTAATATATTTGTACGCTCACAACCCCGGTAATTCTATGCACCTATTAGCCACATTTAACCGGTACATTGGCCTGTAGAACTTAGAATGAAAGAGAAATATTTCCGATTCGCGTACTATTGCGTAGCTAAGCGCACCGCCTGACGAAGCAGTCCAGCTTAGATCTGTATCCGTACTGAAGCGCTAAAAACATACGGACCTTGCACGAAAGGATAGCGATGACGCAGATATGGAAAGGGACAAGGTTGCCACATGGCCGGTAACTACCAGTAGGGCAGAGAAAGTATGTCTATGGACTGATTGTATGGACCTTTAGTTTCCTTGTTGTACATGCTCGTGACTCAACTCTTCCTCATAGGATTTAAATTGCGCTGAACGTTATCCTTTGTGAACTGATGACGGAGTTGCGATTCACTTGGCGCCATTTTTTGTGGAACAAATTAAAATTACGACTAACCTGCTGTTATATATTTTACTATATATTATATATATATATATATATAATTGAGTTGTAGGATTGTAGCTCTCTACAATTCAGTTCTGCGAATCTATGGATTTGATTTCCAGAATCACAATTTACGAACAGCTGTGGAGCTTCAGACATAAAACATAGTAGCCGCAGCTAATTATTAAACTATTATTAAGAGATTTTTCTGAATTAAATTCGATTTGGCAACAACACATCCTTCAGTTGTATAAATTGCCCCGTGTTGCCAAATCCAATATTTTTCAAGCAAGTTTAATAGGAATCCCTCGTAGCGTGGATAGGCATGGCATAAGCCAGAAGACAGACTTGTTGAAAATTGAGGTTTTCCTACAGATGATAGCACTATGCATCGACTAAGTATTACAAAGCCTACATTATCTAAAGCACAGCTTGACTTCTGGCTTGCTGATCTTCTTACCGTAGGATTTGGCCTAAAATTACTTGACATTGAAGATTCTGCTTATATATCTTATTTTAGATAGGAGATCGAAGAAAATTATTGAACATTTAAATGTTGCAAAATTCGCAGACTTTTAGTGGATTTCTTAGATGAGTGCGCGACAACATCGCTTCCAGCTCTCTACTGCCTTCCAATTCGGAACCGAACTATATTATTTATCGTTCATAAAAATCAAGTTTAATCAAAGAATATGCGTCTTCTGAATTAAATGATTTTATCTTCAGGTATACGAGAATAAAGACAACCCGAGAGACGTGATAAATATAACCAGATGGCTCAATCCTGATGCTTTAGAAGTAGCTACGCCTAGTATTATTGCACCCCACCCCAACACTTACACGTATAGCAAAAGGCTGGCAGAAACGCTTGTAGCAGATGAAAAAAATAACATGCCCGTTTGCATCGTCAGACCTGCCATAGGTAAGTCTCAAATAGAAGATGGGTAAAGGTCGACCTTTTTGCGTCTATCATAAAGTTTTTTCTTGACATTTTTGCAATTTTATTTGTCTGTCAATGCATTGTAGATGTACGAGTACATGGAGATATTTTTTTAATTCCAGTAATTCCTGCTGTGGAAGAACCCCTTCCAGGCTGGGTAGACAGTCTAAACGGACCGATAGGATTATTAGCAGGCGCTGGCAAAGGCGTGATACGATCCATGTACTGCAAGGGAGAAAACAAAGGACATTTCATACCAGTTGATTACGCTATCAACGCGAGCATTTGCATAGCTTATTTAGTAGGAGCCAAAAAAACCAGGTACGTAAAGTCGTCTATGGAAAATTATAATGTTTAAGTTATTTGCCAGAATCACAAAGTTGGTATGGGCCCCTACACAGGGTGTCCCAACGAAAACGGAAAATAGTTTTGTGAGCAAACTGGAACAGATTTACCAAAAATCGGTTTTGGTAGCAGCCTTGATATTGTAGCGTTTTTCTGGGTTCTTTTGGGTGTGAATTAAAACACTGGATTCCACAAAAAGAAATGCACTAATTTATTTAACTTGATGTACACCACTATTTATGTTTGACTAATTCTTATGTCACCATCGACTGCACTATACTCCACTCCGCTCTGCTACTCTACCGTATTCAGTACTCTGCTTCCATCTCCCGGCCGCCGAGTTATATATAGTCCCCATTGCTGCTTCGAGAAAGGTCTGGTGAGCCACAAAGCGACATCTAGAATATTGGAGGTCACTTCGCGTCGATCTAGAAAGCGATTCACTGTCACGATCCTCACAGATGCCGCCAAGCGTCATCGATTTTAAGCTGATGTGGAAAAAGTGATGAAATTTCTTTCTGTTTATACAGGGTATCTCAAAACGCGAAATGTGCCTTTTCTCAAAAATTTGAAAATTTCTACATCGTTAAATATTTTTTGGTGTAATTTGTTTCAAATAAGCTAGATACAATTTTTTCCGACCGTTTTTGCCCTTAATTTCAGGATAACACAAATATATGTTCAAAAATGGCGGAGCTGCGTGCCGTCAAAGTTGGGCAATTTTTCACGAAAACGGAAAATAGTTTTGTGAGCAGCCTTGATATTGTAGCGTTTTTCTGGGTTTTTTTGGGTGTGAATTAAAACACTGGATTCCACAAAAAGAACTGCACTAATTTATTTAACTTGATGTACACCACTATTTATGTCTGACTAATTCTTATGTCGCCATCGACTGCACTATACTCCACTCCGCTCTGCTACTCTACTGTATTCAGTACTCTGCTGCCATCTCCCGGCCGCCGAGTTATATATAGTCCCCATTGCTGCTTCGAGAAAGGTCTGGTGAGCCACAAAGCGACATCTAGAATATTGGAGGTCACTTCGCGTCGATCTAGAAAGCGATCCACTGTCACGGCGTTTACAATATGGTAAATTTTTCAGGCGAAACGAAGTACCTGTCTATAACCTGACGATGTACGGTTTGCTGCCGATAACCTACAGGGAAATAATAGATCGAGGCCGCAGCATAATGTACTCAAGCCCTTTTGAAATGATGATCTGGTACCCGGACGGTGACATCAGACCTTCCAAAACTGTTCATAACATCTACAGCCTTTTCTATCATTGGATCCCTGCTATACTCATAGACATGCTGATGTTGATATTTGGACAGAAGACATTGTAAGTTTGAATTAAGTTTGTGATTTCATGGCTTCGTTTTATCTACTACCAATTATTAAGTATTCCACATGAAGACATTCTGTATTTCAGCGCCCAAACAATCAATTTGAAAGGTACTAGCGGCATCTATCAAATAGTGGCGAAACACGAAAATCGAGTTAGAAATCTTCTTCGAAAAGTGTGGTTCTGCCACTGTCTCATAGATGGCGCTTAATCTTCAAAGGTATTTAGCAAAGCGCAACGGCATTGAATGGGCAAGCTTTGAAGCAAGAATTGACGCACAAATGTCAAACCTCTATGTAGACATTATTTTTTGTTTTCCAAAGGCACTTGTTAATTTTTCTAGCAAAAATTTATGTACCAATTTTGTCCAGTCACACACAAATATCACCCTGCATCTTGAACGCTCTGCATTTCCGGACCCATGTTTATTGAAACTTTTTCTCATATTTTTTAACAAGCAATTACCCTCTGAAATATATCTGTCTATTTTTCGAACACCCTGTATAATCAGAATATTTTCCCCATCAGATGCGAAAGTATCAGTATAATCATTGTTTGTAATTTTAAAACGACGTATCCCTTTTTCAGCATGCTGAGGATACAACGGAAGATATACGACGGCTTGAATCTTCTCGAATTTTTCTCAACAAGAGAATGGAACTTCAGAAGTGAGAAATTCGTAGCGATACCCGATCAACTGAGCGATAGGGATAGAAAAGAGTTCCCTATGAACGAACTGATACCTTTGGAGGAATACATGTTAAGAGCCTTGTTGGGCACGAGACAGTATTGTTTGAAGGAGGATCTGTCTTCTTTGCCTAGGTGTCGAAGAAATTTAAAAATGTAAGTATTCATTTAAGTATCCTCGGGGTATTTTCGACAATTTTATTTCAACAGTGCACGCTAAAAGTTTTATAAGACGTATAACATTCACGCGAGATTTTATGACAAACTTGATGCTTTCTAATTTCAATGTTATCAATATATTGAAATGTCTGAGAAACAAACCGTATGTCCTTTACAAAGTGTAAGTCGGCAATGGGAGTTTGGAAAGATTCCTCCGGTTAAAATAATTAAGCTGAAAAACGGCTTAGTCAATTATCCAATAACTGTTTTGTTTTAGATTTTACGTGGTACACAAAGTTGCGGTATATGGATTTTATTTCTACATCATCTACCTATTAAGTCGCTACTTCACTCCGCTTCAAATACTCTTCGATTTCGTGAGGACAATTATGAGTTACATCCCGATTATAGGATACATCTTTAGTTAAGTTCAATGTTCTTTATATATTTTTTGTATTTTTGTAATTATGGAAATGTTATGGTTGTTTAATAAAACTTAAAAAACCGACACTGTATTTTATATGTTGTAACGAAAACAGCGTGTTTACTATTTATAGCCCAATTTATCACTCTCACACTAACAACACTTGCAATTGATTTATTACAAATTTATGACTATGTCGACTGGACTATGCCGATTTGCGTGATTCACTGTCCCTCTATGCAGGTATTTATCTTCGAATCGACGATTCCAGAAGCACTCCCCCGTTTTCCAGACTCTTCAGAAGCTGGTTGTCCAAAAACGTCGATGTTACGAGGGCATCTGACAAAGTTCTAGTTACGAGGGGTTACAATATTAACTATTTTGTCACACTTTTACCTTTGTGCTCGAATTCAACTGCAACTGACTAGGCCAGGAAGTAGATAAGTTCAATGTTCTTTATATTTTTTATATTTTTGTAATTATCTTAATGTTATGGTTGTTTAATAAAACGTAAAAAACCGACACTGCATTTTATATGTTGTAACGAAAACAGCGTTTTTACTATTTAAAGGCCAATTTATCACTCTCACACTAACAACACTTGCAATTAATTTATTACAAATTTATGAATATGTCGACTGGACTATGACGATTTGCGTGATTAACAGTCGGTCAACTCCCTCGCTCTATGCAGGTATTTATCCTCGAATCAACGATTCCAGAAGTACTCCCCCGTTTTCCAGACTCTTCAGAAGTTGGTTGTCCAAAAACGTCGATGTTACGAGGACACCTGACAAAGTTCTAGTTACGAGGGGTTACAATATCAACTATTTTGTCACACTTTTGCCTTTGTGCTCCTATCCAACTGCAAATAAATAGGCCAGGAAGTGGGTAAGTTCAAGGTTCTTTATGTATTTTTTATATTTTTGTAATTATGGAAATGTTATGGTTGTTCAATAAAACTTAAAACACCGACTTTGTATTTCATTAATAAAAACGCCGTTTTCACACTAACAAGACTTACTTTATTACAAATTTCTGACTATTTCGATTGGACTTTGGCAATTCGCGTTGGTGACTCTCTCCCTCTCCATGCCTTCTTTGCGTGTATTTCGCTTCGAATCGACGAGTCTAGGAGCGCTCTAGCGTTTTCCAGACTCTTCAGAAGCTGGTAGATGGCGGTCGCGTAATTCTGGTTCCCTGAAAACGTCGATGTTACGAGGGCGTCTCACAAAATTCTAGTTACGAGGAGGTCCCAATATAAATTATTTTATCACAGTTTTGCCTTTGTGCTCGTATTTAAATGCAACTAAATAGGCCAGGAAATAGGTAAGTTCAATGTATTTTTTATATTTTTGTAATTATGGAAATGTTATGGTTGTTTAATAAACTTGAAAAACCGACTCTATATTAGATAGATTGTAACGAAAACGCCGTTTTTACAACACTTGAATACATAGCTATGACTATGTCGCCTGGACTATGGTAATTCGCGTAATCGACTATCGGTCGACTATCTCCGTCTGTGTAGGTATTTATCGTCGAATCGAAGAGTCCAGAAGCACTCCCGCGTTTTCCAGACTCTTCAGAACCTGGTAGATGGCGCTCACCAAGTTCTAGTTACGAGGGGCTTTCAATATAAATTATTTTGTTACGGTTTTACCTTTGTGCTCGTATTTAACAGGAACTAGATAGGCCAGGAAGTAGGTAATGTTTGTTCTGCAATTTTGTTGGCAGTAAATTTCTGTGGTGATATCTTTAGATTATTGCTTCCTAATGATTAAATTAGCGTTATGGTAGGGCTAGATGATTTGGTGCCATTTTGGTAGAGGGGTTTGATCGTAAATCTCGAAAGCCATCGATCCTATGTAAAAAAAGCAATGAAAACCATTGTGTGAGAATTGAATAATTTATTCCTTCTTCTTCATCTTGTTCAATGAAAATTTGTCATATAGTCAGCAGGTTACGAGAAATGTAATGATAAAGCTACATGTAATGATATTTTCGCTTATAATGGCTCAGCCTAAGCTAACAATCTAAGTATCATCTTTTGTACAAAATGAAACCTTCTTTACAGACCTACAGATAACGTATTTTTGAGGCGGGCTAAAGAAACTTCCAGATCTTTGATCAAAGGCGTTTATCAAAATGGCAGCTAGCCTACCTGACTCATATCTGATTTCATAGAATAAATGAGCATATCTCACAGTATTTGCCACAGGGAAACGAAATATATCGATTTCAATTTTTAAGTGCAAGATGTCCAATTTAAAATAATATATTTTTTATTTTTAATACGAAAGGGTTAAAACACTATCGGCCATGATGTGACGTCATGCAAATTGTAAACAAAGACACGCCATCCGTATGTCACTCGTAGACTAACAATGTCATCTTTTGGTATTTCTAAAAAACCACAAATGTTTACCTTTTACAAAATCTTCATATTTCTTGACCTAAAATGATGATGATGAAAATCCACTGAAATATTTCCATTTACTAGTATAACGTGAGGCCCATTAAAGAATCGAGACTAAATAAATAAGCATCTATCAGTATTTTGTCTGGGTATATTCCGATATTGTCAATAATATCGATTTATTAACACTGATAACACTTCGACGCACAGAGACAAAGTGACTCTATCATGCATATATGAGATAATTGACAATTATGACAGTTCTAATATCAAAGTAAACCATTTATAATAATCAGAACAAAGACAGCTATGGACTAGCCCAATTGTTTCTTTGAGGGAGCTTTGCTTCTTGAAATAAACAAGACCAAGTTTTCGCAGTGGGAGATTGATTAAACAAATTCAAATCGGTAAAACTTCATTTTATATACGAGGGTTGTCTCCAAAATGCCAGGCGAAGTGTGGCAACAGCGTCGTGTCTGTCACCTGCCCCACCACCGATCCCAACAAGAAGCGCCAACGAACTGACGGCAGACTTCTTTGAGGCGAGAGTGCAAAAGTGGATTTCCCGTCTAAAAAAATGCGTACAAAAAAATGGAGACTATGGAGAAAAATAGATTAAATATCCACGTTTCCAATGGTGAATTCATTTCAATAAAAAATTTCTTGAGCATGGGAAAAATGTGGGAACCTTATTTTTCTTACGATTCTGGTACATACACTCGTATTTCATTAAAAGAGTACAAACTACATTTTTGCTATATGGGGTAGGTAATACCGAACGTTTACTTTTGTATCAGCGCGTTCAGTTGCAAGAATGGTTTTTAAAATCTCACAAACATGAAACTGTAGTAATATAGACAAAAATTTATGACTACCAATTGTTTCCTGTCCACTATCAGTGAAATTACCGTCTAATTGTACCGACGAGCTTCAATAAGAGCGAAACAACGTCGTCTGCGACTGCTTGAACGAATAGTGGACAAAACCAGTGACTTTTACTTTCTCTCAGTGTGTTAATGTGTGTAGTGTATATCACTACAAGTTTAAAAACCAGACTAAAGCTTGATGAAAAAGTTTATAGAACGAGGTCTAGACTTTTATAGCCTTTTCACCATGAAACTTGTTGTAAACATACATTTAGTAAGTGTTATGATAATTTTGATATCATAAAATGAAATCGCCGTTAACAATAATAAAGCGATAAAACCAAGCACAGATATGGACTTGTCCAAATGTTTAAGCTTATAAGCATTGACTCCTATCATTAAAGAGTAACGAAACTTATGATAGACTCAAAACCCATCCCTGTGGAACTCCCACGTAAACATCATAGGATGAAAAATAAAATTTATCGTCAATTTCTTATTACCAAAATAATTAACAACACTAATCGTCTAAATACGGTCCTGTATAATTATAAAATGATAAAGTTAAATAAAACGAGGCGATAAGCACATGTGAACCGAGGAATCTCTAGAAAATTAAAGAACGAATAACAATAACAGCAATCCCTGACACAGTAAGTGTACAATGTTCAAATCAGTGAGGGTGAAGTTCGGTAGACAGTTGAGGGTTCATAATGCCTACGCCTACTGCGACTACGTATGGAACGTTGGAAACAAACGACAACGGAGCTTATTATCACCTGGCGGAGGTAAATAAGACATTAGACATTGTGTAAACATATGATAATTTGTGTAATTATGTGGATCATGCAAGATTATGATATTATGTCACTTTATCTCGCAATGACGAATCTTAAAATGTCAAGGCAAAAGCGATTCAAGTTATTTTTTCGCAACAATCTGACGATAGCATATTCTGGAAGACCACATAAGATGCTGGAAACATAAAGTGTTACCAGTTTTTTACTAATTATCCATCCCAAGTTCGATCCGATGACACTTTAGAATTTTTTCACTATGATACTCATATTCAGCGCCTCAAATTACCTCAATGCTTCTTTCACATGTAGCCATCTGTAGTAAAAATGGATTTTTAGTCGTTGATAATTAATCAGATCTACATATAAGTTAAACGGAATCAGATAAGTGTTAAACGAACCACATTTAAAGCATTTTAATGTGTAATTACGATGTATTGTTACCAAAAAGGCACACAATGGGTCAGTTGAAAACGTGAGCCCAACATGCCTTATAATACTGTGACAAATAGCACCATCTGTTGGGCGAGTCTCCTACTTGCCAGAGCTTAATGGCCGATCTCTGCTTTTGCGCGAACCACGACCGCACAAGCCGCCTGGCGGCGTCTGTGAGGACCGTGACAGTGGACCGCCTTCTAGATCGACGCGAAGTGATCTCCAACATTCTAGATGTCGCTTTGTGGTGCACCCGGTGTTTCTCGAAGCAGCAATTGGGACTATATATAACTCGGCGGCCGGGAGATGGGGGCAGAGTACTGAATACGGTTGAGTAGTAGAGCGGAGTGAAGTATAGTGCAGTCAATGGGGACATAAGAATTAGTCAGACATAAATAGTGGTGTATATAAATATTTTATCAAGTTAAATAAATTAGTGCATTTCTTTTTGTGGAATCCGATGATTTAGCCCACACCCATAAGAACCCAGAAAAATGCTACAATACATACAGTCAAGTGGTTGACAAGCTGATGTACAAATAGGGGAAAAATAAGATTTTTATATCATTTGAGCTTTAGGATGAGATCCGCATTGTCTAAAAATAACAAAATGTTTCTTTTTCCTTTAGCCATTTTCCAATCTAGGTCTTGCAACGACTCTAGCATAGTTTATCTTGTCATCCAAGCTTTCTTATTGCATTTCCAAGCTACATTAACATTCATGTTAATGTTATTAAAAGCTCTGCGTTTAGCTGCCTCACCAATGAGGAGTTTTTCTTTTTCACCCGCCATATTTACACATTGAAAAATTGTAAACCTCTCTTCGGAATACTTACCCCCATCACACAGTTGTGTTTAGTAGTCGATGCTTACCCCCAACACAGTTTTCCGTCTTTATTGTGCGAGTTTTTTTTTACCAAGTTTTCACCCCAAATCCGGTCCGATGACACTTTAAAATTTTCACTAGGATATAGCCATCGATAATAAAACAATTTAGCATAGCATCTACTGACGTTTCCTACTCCCTTAACATTTTTTTTCAAGGTCTAGATCTAAATTAAGATCGTAATAACATTAGCAGATCGAAAAAAGATTCTTTAATAAAAATAATAATGCTTAGCTTTAATATTGATTCTAACATTACCTACGTATAGTTCATTTATTTATGAAAATTTACAATTTTTATAAAAGCAAACAATGTCTTTGCAGCATTAATATTTCGGCTTTTCATGGCACAATAAAGAAATTATGTGATTCCGAAATATGTTCGAATTAGAGATTCGAGATTTTCAAATGTTAGCATACCTGACTTGACTTGATACAATGTCAACGCGGTTGTTCCTCAGGGATCGGTTTTGGATCAAACAAGTTGATGCCTGGAGAATGTTGTGGCTATATTGATCATAATTGATGCTGTTCTGAGGAGATCTATCAAGCTTATGCATTCCAAAAATCGGAACATCTAACTGAAATAATGACAGGACCTCTTTTTGTTTACAGGAAGGAATAAATGATGAAAAACCCGGGAAATCGAAAACGAAGGGCCTTAGCTCTTTTACAGCTACCCTTTTCATAGCAGGAGGAATGGCTGGTAGTGGCGTACTAGCTCTTCCAAGAGCTATAGTTAATACTGGTAGGTCTTGAAAACTAGTACCAACAGAATTGCTGTTGTGTTGACATGCTATTCCTTTTATTCAACAGGTTATATTGGAATATTACTTCTTGTGATATTCGCGTTCAACGCCGCCTATGGCGGAATAAGACTGGGAATGTGTTGGAGCATAGTTGAAGAAAGATATCACGAGCACAGGAGTGCATCCAGGAACCCTTACAGTGTGATAGCCTCGAAGGCAGTAGGGAAATGGGCGGGGTGAGTTTAGTTTTTCCCTTTTCACTATACAATTTAGAATTCCAACTTTTTAGGGTTGCAAGAACTTTTATACGCAAACGTATCTTCGTCTTAATTTAATTAAAGCATTGTTGAGATGGGCATCCACAGGGGACCAATCAGGCGGGGGTAGCAAATTTTCTTAGGGGGTGGGCATATTCTAAAAATTTCAAAAATTGTACTCAAAGTCATCAATTTTTATATTGAAAATACCGCATATAATTGTAGTAAAATGGGCTTTATTTTTTTCTAGAACATTAGTATCAAACTGTATTAGAGTAACTCTATTCGGA